ACATCACATAAGCAACTTTGGCGCAAGTCGATTTTTGCACTCTTGCAAACAATGTCTCCTGTTCATCCAAGCATGAACACATACCACACAAAAATGGTACCAAATGATTTGGGATAAAACACTCTTTCATCAGACATATAACAATTTAATGTTCATCTATGATTTTTTTAATAATTAGCAATTTTCTAGGTGTAAACTTTTTTTTGACTCACACTGTAGTTTGCTTTAATTCAGTATTTCATGACTATTTCGACATTTTTGGTCAATGGATTTTAAAAAACAAAAAGGTATTTGGAATAAAAAAAAGACATGTATACATGTTCATCATATATCTATCACCTACGGTATGTTTAACACACCTGTTTTTATATTCATATTCTTAACAACAACAAACAATTAAATAAATTAATTAATAAATAAAATTAAAAAAAATACAAATCATCAAAAGGAATATTTAAGTGTCTTCTTCTTCTTCTGGATTTGCTATGGTCAGTGGTTCCAGATCTTCTATGGTGCAAGGGTCTTTGTGTTCATTAATATTCCACACATAATCTTTAAGGAGAATAAAACCCAACAAATTTTAAGTGATAGCCTTACTAAAACAAATTAGAGCTGGTCAAAAATATCTTGAAATTACTCCTATTTGATTACTTAGCAAGGGAAAAAAATCTCTCCATATTTTGCATTTTCCTTGCTAGCCATTCTCGCATGAGAGGTGCCATTTTGATTAAAGTAGTGATGTCATAGTAGTACAACTTGTGAGATACCCACTGACCTGTATACAATGTAGGACACTCACATACGAAATACATGACAATGGTTTCCTAAGAAGAATAGACTTTTTTGTAATGCATTCAAATAAACGGATCAAATTTTCATTGTGAACAGTGGTCTATGAGAGTGTAGGCCTATGGAGCCTGTGGCAAACAATAGCTCTTTACAAATTGTTATCAAGGTCTACATGTTGTGAAGTTTGGAGAGCATAATTGCCTATTTATACCATGATGTGATGGTTGTTAGTTTCTTGTCTTTCCTCTTAAAAATGCATATTATGTGCAGATCCTCCCCACCCCCCTGTTGTACTCAAAACTGTGTAGATAGACCTACATCATTAAACCGAGCACCACCGCCATCATTTTGTCTATCTATAGACCTAGGTTTCCTTAGTTTGCTCAGAAAAATGCAAATTTAATATTATTAAGTTGTTCAACAGCATCACTCAGTCTGATTTGATTCAAGATATATCTCATTTATTTAGTGAAACATTGTTTCTAAAGACTGAGGCTTCCTTGGTTTCTTTGGGAAAATGCAAAACTAATTTTATTTAGTTGTTTGATCACCTAGTCTGATTGTATGTAAATGTATCTCTAGATAATAGTTTTAGTGTCGATGTGATAAAGGGAATTTAATCATGAAGCTAGCTAGATTAACCAAAATTGTCCATTCAGAAATAATTTGACAGCCAGGCAGACAATCGTGTTAGCATCCAAGAAAGGGGTTCTAGCTAGGGCATCTCTTAAAGTACGTCTCTGCTCACTGATGTAAAATTTTGCACTCCAAATATTATTCTTTCAAAATACTTTGATACAAATTGTCAATAAAATTGGAACCTCTATGTGTGAGTCTAAATCAAATTCTTACTGACATTTAGACTATATAGCCTTTACAATGTTTTCATTATTAACCACTTGATTACTGTTGGCTTAATCCGCGTTCATACCTCCTGTGCTACTCGCACTAACATCATTAGTGGGACTGAAACATCACTGCCGGATCTTTTTTTTGGGAAGAGCGCCAGCTATTGTTAAAGTCCTGTATAACGTCATTGCAGTGCTAATTACACAGTAGAGCTAGGCATAATATGCAGTGCTTCGGTCTTGAAAGTACAATGCACTAAGCACGTACATGTACGTGGTCCGCACAGGCATGCGAGAGCGAGAACACGTATATATTGTACATGGTGCACAGTCGAGTGGTTATAGGGACTTGGTAAAATTGTGCAGATGAGATAATATGGTGCTAAGGTAGTGACTTCAATGCCAGATGTACAATTAAAGATAAACTGAAAGTTTGAGTGAAAACAGACCGTTATTAATGATAAAAATTGGGAAAAACTGATCTGATCAATTCCTGAATTCTCCCAACTATTTCATTATAATGTAATGTGAATCGTCTCAAAGCAATGAATTGGCTCTATATACCATTCCAAACATTAATATGTGGAATGATTGTTTAAAGCCTGTCTGGCGTCTTATTTTCATGGAAAATTGGGTGGGAAAATTCAAAAATTGGTTGGGAGAATTTACTGTTAGAGGGTGTCGCACAGTGACGCCTTCAGAGAAAACCATAAATATATATATTTGAGATTTTTATTTCAGGATTTTGGGCATGTTAGAGGGTTAGTACAGTAGAAGGAATAAAATAACTAACATTTCATTAACAAATTACGCTGTTTTTCCATCAATCTTCAACAATGTAATACCAAGTCACTTAAATGAGATATATGAAGGAAAGGGAGAGAGAGGGCGTGCAGGAATAAATATACATTCTACTTAAAACAAAAATCAAGGCAAGACCAATAAAGAGTGAATTCATAGTCCCATAAAATAATCCAGTATTGAAACATCATTATGATGAGAGAAGATGGGATAAGAGGTAGAGAAAAAAAGACATAGAGAGACACAGAGAGACCGTGAGAGAAAGGACGAAGGTATAGAAGGAAATAGTTTAAAAATTTTAACAGGAATACTTGACAATTCATTACATAGTGCAAGCAAGAGAAGTAACAATAAGACAGATGGTTATCAATGTCAGTAGTGATCCCGTGGACAAAATCAATTATTTGGAGTGTACATGGTGCCCCACAGCACATAGTTATAAGTAGAAAGGGACATGGAAATGTTGACATCTAGTGTGGTGATCTTTGTTGAGCTAGTATGCTTAATTATTTCTTTTATAATTGACCTAGGAAAAGGATTGGTGAAATCAAAATTGATTGATGTGTAAAATTGTCACTTATGGCATTTTTTCCTAACCCTGGCATTTTAACTCTAATATCTTAACCTCTCACACTTTCACACCAAATAAATTGTCCTTGGTAGTTGCCAGGGAGGGGGGTAAATTGTCCAAGGTGTACAATGTAGCTGTCTAGATACAGTCTATGGAAAATATTTAAATTGTGCAAACCCTGCTACCCAGGGATACTAGTAATATACTGCTCTGTAGTTATCTCATTATTGTTTATCTTTAAATTGCATTTTGTGTTAAGTGATATAAAATTTAACATCTTCCATTTTGTAAATTCCATAGAGGGGCAGAAATCGACTAACAAATACATGTGCTTTTTTCTGGAAGTTCATAAGTTGACCTTTGTTACCTTGACCTTTGACCTATTTACTCCAAAATCTGATGAGATTCTCTTCCTATAGTGATACATACTATCATTAAGTTTAAAGGTCATATCTCAAGGGCCGTGTTCTAGAGATATTAGTAATATACTGCTCTGTAGTTATCTCATTATTGTTTATCTTTAAATTGCATTTTGTGTTAAGTGATGTACAATTTAACATCTTCCATTTTGTAAATTCCATAGAGGGGCAGAAATCGACTAACAAATACATGTGCTTTTTTCTGGAAGTTCATAAGTTGACCTTTGTTACCTTGACCTTTGACCTATTTACTCCAAAATCTGATGAGATTCTCTTCCTATAGTGATACATACTATCATTAAGTTTAAAGGTCATATCTCAAGGGCCGTGTTCTAGAGATATCCCTTTAATGAGAAAGTGGGTCGGACGCACAGACAGCATGCACCAGAGTGAGAGCACCTTGCTTCGAGAGGAAACATCTGATTTTACTCATGCACCTGATTCCTGCCATTGCTGATTTGTGATGTGCTGGTCAAACATAACCCCTAAATTTCTGGCTCAAGGCACAGAATTAATGTGGCATTCACTGACATATACACTAGATAGGGAGGGATCTTGACGAAACTTAGATGTGAAATGGATAACTTCAGTTTTTGAATCATTCAAAGACAATTTGTTTTTCATTGCCCAAATCTTCATTTTAGTTATGCAGGCTTTTAACCTCTCTAATGATATACAATTTGCGTGTAATCTGCATTTCTGTTCGTGTAAAGCATCACATTTACACCATGAGATGTTACGATATCTTCCATTGGCTCTGTGTACATTGTTGAAGGCAAGGGGCCCGATGACGGATCCTTGTGGAACCCCATGTTTATCATGGTAGGATTGCGAAGAGGCATTTTTTATCATAACATGCTTTCTGTTTTCAAGGTATGAGGAAAACCATCGAAGTGCCCTTCCTCTGATTTAAATGTAGGATTCCATTTTTTCAAGCAGCAGATCATGGTCAATCGTATCAAATGCTCCGCTAAAATCTAGCAGCACCAGTTCCGCTTCCTACTAACTGATGATGTGCACCTAGCAGGCAGCCCTTTAGTATTTCTCAGAGTTTTGTTATATTTTTTGGTTCATGATCACGTCCAATAGTTTGTGTAGTAATCAGTGTCATCAATGCATAGTGTGAACCTTGCAGGACTGACTTTTAAGGATTAAGTGAAGTAATATCCCTGCATTTAAAAGTGTAAGTTTTTCACCTTGTTTGGATTGGATCTATACTTTATGCTATAATCTTTGAGAAGATATATTCTTCTGTCAAAAGAACCAGCATTATTCAAGAAACAGGTTAGTTTGAAATCTGTCTGACCAGTACGATGCAGACCACCTTATGTGTGTCTGCATCAGAAACAGATTTAGTTTTTAAACATCTGTCACATCTGGCCACTGAAGAAGAGTGTGACACTAACCTGTTTCTTTTCTTCTCTTCATTTTTTTTTTTTTTGTGGACAAGTCATTGCGCTCCGCCTGCCGGATGGAGGGTTTTTTAGGCCATTTTTGGGGTTGTTCACATTGTGTCAAAAGAACCACCATAAATGAGATATTGAAAGGAATTACAGAAAAGTAAAATGTACATTAGAAAAAGGAATAGATGGTAATGGAATGAACTTAAATTAAAACTCAAACATATCTCATAATTGTGGATGAACTGCTCACCTTTGATTCTTTTCCTTTCCTTGCAAGTGTTTCAAAAAAACAATGATGGAATGCGGCATCATGAAGAAAAACTTCCTTCAAGGATGGCACGGAGCACATCATCTCTGCCACATCAAGTGACATAGTAGGTCCACAATCTCTCCAAATATTGAGCTTAACCTGGATAAAATGACAAAGTGATCACTGATGAGATGCAGAATATAGATGTTCACTTGGATGTAAGCCATACATGAGTAACCTACATGAGCGGTTGCCCTAAATTTGCTGCTAGAACTACAGAGAGAAAGAGGGAAAAGGAAATAACCAAAGGTACAGGCTGAAGAGCTATTGCCATGACATTTCATATCAAATTCCTATTTTTGCAAAAGTAGGAATATCTTATCTTAGTTTACCATGTAAAGTCTAAGAACAGGTTTCTAAGGAGATTAATTAATTCCACACCATCTGGTGCCTCGATCATATCTTAATCATTTATAAATGTAATAGGAATACCATCACTAAATTAAAAGGGGGGATACAGAGCAAAAATTTAGGCTGGCAAAGATGAAAAGAAGAAAAAATGTTGATACCCCCGGCATGAGCACAGTTGTATGTATTCAATCTTACCAAAGGAGAGTGAAGCAGAGGATGAATTAAAATCAAAATTAATAATGTACATTTATGTTAAGAGTTGCAATTTCAATAACACCAATTTTACACTGGGCCAAGAATATCAAACAGATTCCTTTGTTGACCTCTGTTTACCATGTTTGCTCCTGTTAAACATTCATAAACCAAGAATTGCGATTTTAATTAGGCAAGAGATATTTTTTTTTGAAGGGATGAAAATGGGCAAACTATTGATGAAGTTTCCTGTCCCCAAATTTTATCTCATCTAAAAGGTATAGATGCAATGTGTATGCATGTGCCAGTACATACTACATAATAACGTAATTGAATTGAGTCAATGCCTAATATATCAATTTGCATGTTCTGAATTTTTTCTTATTCCTCTTCCACCCAAATCACATTTGTTTTGCATGCAGCTAGTGCTTGTTATTCCTAATTAGGTCCTTTTCTCTATCCCAATTCCTTTCAAATTTTTTATGCATATGCTTTACCATCTCACCGTCTGCACTAGCTGCTGAACTTCGTCCAGGCGCCATTTTGACTGTTTCGGGACCGTTTACATGCCTTTCTTTCAGCCTACCTATCTCCCCTATCCTAGATGCTACAGACTTCTAAAAAAATACTGTAAATAGTGCAAGAGTTGCTCTTAATCTTAAATATACAATTGGTCCTTCAAAATGCAATCTTCATACTCTAAATATAAGGCCGAAATTCAACAATCGCTAAAGTTCTTTAAATATTGACCATTGAAAAAGAAAAATTACCTTAACTTTGTCATATCAATCTCTTTCTGTCTGAAATATGTACAGCATCTTTATCTTTGCATTGCACATACCGGTATACATCTATTTCTCCTGAATTTTACACATCAATAGTCATGCATGATATGAATTACATCTGACAATGGATGTTTATGGGGCCATAGCTCCATCATGCCTAAATTTATCAGTAACCTTTTTTGGATCTAGATACTTCAAGATATACACTTTGCAGCAACAACAACAAATAAATTCATCCTACCACTGACCAACTTTGCGAAAAATTGCTCTCGAAAACCATACTTTTCAGGATAATTCCATAAAAACTTCAACATACACTGTACATCTATTTGCAAACTTTATACCTAGGTCTATGAAACTTAACAGACATGTGTAATCGTGTATCAAACTACTTGACAACCGAATGCCAACTTTGGTAAAATTTCATGACGTCGATCATCACTAGGTTAATTTTTAAAATGTTGAATTTGCTATGCATCACATACAATGCGTGACATGCGTGACATGCTTGTAGTACCTTAGTGTGCATGACAATGGGTTAAAATGACCACAATGGAATAGCTTTTCAAATGGTTCCATACACAGTATATGTTCACTCAGTAAATTTTGAGTAGATCGATATTGGAAGCAGGTCACAATTCGGATTACGCAGGTTTTCTGCCCAACTGTAACACGTATCGGCTATGACGTCAATTTTATTCTGGATGGCCAAACTCAGGGCATGTCTCATAGCCCAATTTTGAAAACCTGTCATCCGGACGTTTTAGATGCCTTTTTATATCCTGCATTACGATGTATCGCTCTATATGCGTCATGTATTGGTACGTTAGGATGCAAGGCCATATACATGTAGGTTAAAGCATATGGAAAACCATAGGTGCGTAATGACATGTGCCTTGGTGTGTTCATTGTACATAGGATCACCGATCTAATTGCTCAGTTAATTTATCTGCTCAAAGAAATAGAAATACGGGCATCAATGCATGAATATCATCACCGATAGCAGTTCTAGCTAATTAATGATGCATGTTCCGGTTTTTTCAATAATGTATATAAATAAATTACTTTGTGCTATGCTTACTAAATTGCTTGGGTGACTACACATTTCGACTTCGCATTTTAACCTGGTGACTCTGGGTATTGGTGCTAATGCATTATTTTTAATACAAATTTCTTTATTCCATTGTCTTTTAATTCTCCCCTCTAAATTACATCTTTCTCTACTGTTACGATTTCTTCATCTGTTTTCCAGGAACCTATAATATACAAACACTGCTTTTTAATAGGTTCCTCACATTCTAATTAATCTATTATATGAATTGAGAATCATTGAGACGTGCTCATTTATACTACATGTATTGTATAATTTTTTATTTAAATGTATGTCCATATTTTTGGGGAAAATGTGGAACAATAAAAACTTGAACTTAAAAACTTGAACTTGAACAAGTTTAACAATTGTTACTGTTTAAACCTCCTTGATGCATCCTTCCATAATTATATTCTTGTCCTGTAAGAAAATTGCAAAAAGATGTAATGTAAGAAAATGGATGAACTGATTTTGTTTATCAAACTATGATCAAACTTACCACATGTGGTCCAATGAATGCATAACCAGCTACAGTGTGTGCTGTCGTGTATGTGCCTATGGTCAGCACAATCTCCTCTGATGAAAGCTTGTCCCTCACCAAGGCTGCTACATCTGGGTCCTCACTCTCAAAGGCTACATCAACATTGAAATCTAACTTTTCTTGCCAGTTAAAGAAATTCAAGCTGCTTATCGGTAGTCCCTGAGGCATAGAGTTCATTATATGGGTTGCAATACTTTTGTGCTGTGACACAGTGAAGTACAGGAGATACCTGAACTCCCAATTCCTTGGCAGCACTACTTGCTCAATCAGCCTGTTGAATTCATTACGATCTGATTCATACAGGGAAGCAAGATGGACTCCAGCCATGTACTCCTGAAACAGTTTGTGAGGGAAGAAGACTGGCAATTGCACATAAGAATTCCCCTTATGCATGTCCATACTAGTGGTAATTCTGTCCTCCTGAGACAAAATCCCGACCCTACAGGCAGTGTCCTTGGATTCTGGGCACATTTTGAAATCATCTTCACCGAAAACCAAGGTATTTTCTAGCAGACCATGGAGGGCCTGCTTGGCAATTGGTCCAAGGAGCTCATCAATTGTTTTCAAATAGGCATGAAGTGAGGGGCTGCCTACTTTCTTCACCTCTTTTTGAGCATAATGTTCTTTTAGAAAGGCAATCATTGTTTTGAATATTTGAGAAAAAGTTTTCAGTGATTTCATTTCCTTTAGTTTTTGCTCACCAACTTCTTTCCACATAAGACACAACATGGCTACATATATAGGATAGTGGGCCATGTTTTCAGATATGACATCATTCTCACTGGTGAACTGGATAAGCTGATTTGCTTTATCCTCATTATTTGGAAAGTATTTGTGAATGTAAACTGACAAATTCTCTCTGTTGAAACCCTCCACATGAATGAATGTGTAGAGCTTCATTAGATCACCATCGGATCTGATCTCTACTGCTCTCCAAGGGCGAGTGGTAACCAAGACTGGGCAAGAGGCAAGTTGATCTGAACAAAGAATATCTACAAGTCCTATATTACCAGATGAGCTGACACTTGGCTGTGATGGCTGAAGTTGCATTTGATCAGTAGAATTTGAATTACAGGATTTTGTCTTCACGATTTCACCACTGACTTCGTCTAGCCCATCGAATGTGATGAATACCTTGCCAGGATTTGACTGGATATACTCAGTAATCTGAGAAACCGTTGCTGGATTGTTTTTGTCCAGATAAGACTTTGCAATCTCGCCAATAGTGTGTTGCTTAAATTCACGTAGAGGAACAATCAAGACCCACACAAAGTGACTGAAATGCCTCCCTTCAATCCAGTCCCAGGCAATCTTAGCACAAAATGTAGTTTTTCCAGCCCCTGCCTCTCCCTGAACCATGATCCGCTTGGGGAACTCTCCATTAACTTTGAGATCGAGGATATCATTGTAATCTAGCTTTCGCTTCTGTTTTCCATGTTCTTCTAGTAAGAAGAGATTAGTATACATGTCTTTAAACGGCACAATGGAAGCAGGATCGAGAGGATCAGCTCTAATCTTACATAGAGTTGACCTGTACTTGAACTTGAAATCATTTGCACACTGCTCAACCAGTTCAGGAGAAAGTGGTTTGGTCTGAGATTCAGCTGAAGGAGGTTTGGTCTGTGATTCGAGCAGTCTTGATGGCCCTCCTAAAAATACATAGATAATCCATATTCACATGGTTACACATAAACATGTATTTTGATACATCTGTAAAGATTTTAAAGGCATGAGGCTAATAGTGTGACCTACAAATAGGTGCATGCACTCAAGTGAAGACACAAAGTCCTACATGTTTGTCTGAATTTGTATGAAGTCATGAAGTAAATTATGCATCCGTGCATGTGCAGATGCATAATTATAGTTATCATAATTAAATGACGCAAAAGAATATAATTTGTTTGAAGAACATGTACACATAAAGAAAGCTGACAAACATTAAATTCTGCCGTCACTCAAAGAACTTGTACTATACTGGTGTACAGAAAAAAAATTAAGATTAACAAAGTTAAATAAGTAAATTATAAAAACATACATGGGGCCTGAAATATTTGACACTTCTGTAAATTGTGGCAAATGTACATGTATAGAACACAGAGCATCATTCACTTTATCTAGATGGTAAAAACTGACTTTACTTTCATGCATGGTTTTCTATATCTTCTGTTGACATAGCAAGACTGCAATAATTAGTATCTGTTTACCTGTGCTGTTTGGTTCATTGAGTAATCTGTCTGATAAGCCACCCAAGTCAATCTCTCGTAGTTTGTCTGCCAAAAGCTGCCGTTTATTTGAGTGTGGAGGTTGCTGCATGACATTCCATTTCATGAATACCCGCAAAAATGCATTGGTATAGTTATTCCACTTCTGAATCAGGATATTCTCTAGCTGAGCATAAGAGAACCCTAGGGATATCCCTACAGCCTCGTAGTAAGATGGTTGGATATCATGGGCCAGCTGCAGGAACTCCATGTCACTGACATTACTGTAAAATGAATAATATATTAATTGGGTATGATAGGATATTAGTTAGAGAGCATCGTATAATGTGATACTCAACAATTTGTATAACATGCATGCTTGAGCATGCAATATATACAGCCTAGGAATATCAGAATATAATGCCTGTGATATTAACAATTGAAAGATATTGGCCCAAGTTGCAGGTCAGGGCAGTATTGTTCTGTAAAGGGTAATTATGCCAAAAAAGCAGAGTTAAGCAGTAAATACAATAATTACGATGATGATATAAGTAATAATAATAAGAAGAAAAGGATTACTATACTACTTGTCAAAATAATGATGTGTACATTAACATTACTACAATTGATTATGATGATGATAATGATGATTATTATTATTGTTATCTTTACAATTATCATCATCATCATCATTATTGTTATTATTTTCATTATTATTACCTTCATCATCATAATTATTATCTGTATCATGCAAAATATATGTAATCACTATGGCCCGAATTCACAAAGGAGGTTTACATTTAACCCATGGTTTAAACCTTAATTTACAAAACCCATGGTTTAAAAATTAGCGCAAAATAAGCATACCTTGCCTTGCGCGCGTCTAATATTGGACCTCTTGACTGTGTTGCGCTTATTTTGCACTAATTTTAAACCATGGGTTATGTAAATGAATGTTAAAACCATGGGTTAAATTTAAATCTCCTTTGTGAATTCGGGCCTATAAGTTTGTTCTATAAAATGATGATTTCAAGTGTCACATTGATCTCATTCATGATAATTGACCACGTTGTGTGGTTTGCCTTGTTTAAGGAGGTTGAGTTCTGGGAAAGGTGACTAAAAATAGTGAGCTTTTTCACACTTTTCATGTTAGTGTGGAAGAGTATCAAAGAACAAAATCTTCCTTGAAAAAGACAGGTCACAGCTCTACAAATGCCCTCATTTTTTAAATATATATGACAAATTTTTTGTTTTTGACCACATGCACTTTCCTACCGCCATGTTTGTGGAGTTCCAAATACACATTTCTGTGTCCAGACTGGGAAAAATTATCATTTTGACAACTCACAGTATACACCAATATACTTACATGTACCGGGGTATGTGCTACAGTACATGATCAACCTTTCCAATCGATTCCACGCTGTTTCTTTCGCAATGCAATCACGGAACTATAGGTCCCTGTTTCATCAAACTTGTTATCAATCAAAAATGCTAAATTTCTATGACATTCCTGATCTCAGGCTCTCAGCAGAACAAATGCCACAATAGACCAGTTCACGGTTAGCACATCTCTGTAATCACCCTGAATATCCACAGATCTTCAAAACATGAAGAGGTCCCACTTTGTACATTATGAAATAATCACTCCTACAGTGATGGAGGTGCTACAATATAGCCTTTGTTTCCCCTTTTCAAAGAATACTTCCACCTGTGTATCATGGAGTACACTGCTTGTGCATAAATAAATATTGATTACATAACTTCCATGAGCACATATCCGGTATTTCGTCTCCGTATTTTTCACAATTTGTTCTGCAATAACCTTTATCTGCTCTTGCTCAGACTGCAACCGTGAACTGGCTTATTCTAGTAGCTTATAACAGTAATTGTAACTTGTTACTGATAACAAGGTTTATGCAACAGCTAGGGCCCAGAACGTCATTGTTAACCCTGAAGGTGCTACTAGTATATGCATACCTTGCTGCAGTGTTAGGACCTGGATTGGTTTCAATGTCACCAGATCTCATCAAGAGGATCAGAAGCAGATAGAGAAGGCAGAATCCATCCATGGTGTAAGATATCCTTCTCACTCGACAGAGATTTAGTCCTCTGGAAAATGGTGATATCACATGGACGACAGTATCTGAAAACAACATTCAAAAATATAAATATTAGGTATACAAAACAGATGGAGTAACTATCCCTGAGAGTTTCAATTCACTACATCTATAATAGCTTTTAAGGTTTTGGGTGCTTTACTTCAACGTCATAAACTTTTTCGCCCATGCCTCCTGAAACCCGTCCTTTGGAAGGAATGGCTGGGACCAGCCAAGAAGATGTGCCTTGCAGGGTTAATATTCACGAAATGTTGTATCTGGGCAGAAAAACAATGATTTCGTGATTTTCTTTTGTGTAGTCGCCAATCAGGGCACCCTTCCCCAGCATGCAACGAGTGTCATCATGTATTGCAGAGTCTACACCATATATAGAGATCCCGGGAGTGCATTCAAGGCTCCTCGGCCCAGCAGTGTCAAGAAGAGGCACAGGAATGGAATCAATTTAATAGATAAATCTTTGTTAAGTGCCTCGTTACAAATTATTTCATTCACCGGTTACAAATAATTTAATTTCAATAGTGAGAATGTGAATTGCAAACATTATAGTTGTCGCTCCATGTAGGACAAACATTAGGCCATGTAAAATTGATTACATGTTGATTGTCCGGATTTTTTTAAAAAGAGGAGGAGGGTGTACCATGTTATTTGATATTTGATATTTTCCCCAAGATGGCTGCCGCATGTACAAATAGTTAAAAAAAAAAATTAAAAAAAAAAAAAAAAAAAAAATCAAATATCAAATATAAGGAGGCGGGCAGAAAAAAGGAAGCGGGCGGGGACGATCAACATGAAATCAATTTTACATGGCCTTATTCTTGTCCTAACTAACAACATGGAATACATGCAATTTGCATTCTGACTATTGAAATACAATTATTTGTCATAGGTGAATGAAGTTTGTAACAAAGATTTTTTAAAGGGGAGGGTTTTAAAATTTGAAAATCGCAACGTCAGTGGGGGGGGGGGGGGGGCGTAGTAAGCAATTCCCCCCCCCCTTCCGACACTTTTTGAGGACAATTTTCGCAGCAACTCAGCCAGCGGTGATTAAGCGTGGGGGGGGGGTGGGGGTAGAAGCACATTTTTTTTTTTTTTGCCCCGTAAATCTGGCATTGTGGTGTGTGTCTGTAATCCAGCTAAAAGTAGAAGCGCAAACTGATTCAGCAGAGGACGCAGGTTCGAAACTGAGTCACGTCTTTCTGATGGTGACGTTAAAGGTCTGTCCCCAGACGCAAATAATCATATCTGATTGATACACGTCTGTAAAAATCCAATACACACACACACACACTGTCTACTATGAAGTATGATTAACAGTAATTTGAAGAATTTTAAATGCAATATTCATTAAAGGTAACACAAAGTTTTGGTATGGGGTCATGAATTTGGTTCAAATGAAAATATTGGAAGCAAATGTGATCCTACAATATTCGGTGATCGTTGGTGCGGTTGAAATCAAGTCTAAAGTTATGAAATTGTAAATAATAAACTCTTTATGTTGTATAGTTCTCTCTCAAGGTCAAAATATTAATTAAGCCATTAAACAATGTTCTTGACTAATCAACCAATTGCTATTCCCCTTTGGAAATTACATAGGCCTATAGATCTATCACAACTACATATTCTGAGATTTTCATGGTCGCAGCTACCATTGTATGGCCGTAAGAGCTAGATCTATTTGAAATTTACCGTGAGCATCAGTAAATTTTTCTCGAAAGCAGAAGAATTAATTTTAGGGGCTAAATTTTTCTAGTGCTTATAGTCTATAGACCTAGATCTAGTAGTAGATCTAGACTAGTCAAGATCTACATCCAGGCACAGGATCATCCAAAATAGACTCTAGAGTCTAAATCAAAATTGTTAAGAATCACTATCCAGCCAATTTTAAAATTTTCCCAAAACTTTGTATTAGGCTATAGATCTACCTTTAATATTTAAAGACTATATCTAGACACTCCAATTATGACATTCCTGATATGACCCAGCAAGCAAGATATAGGCCTAGATGTAAAACGACTATGGTGCAAGACCCGGAAGCTGGGACATAGTCATAGCCATACTCCATAGACCTAACGTTAGGCCTAGACCTAGACCGAAAGCTTCAGTCTCTATACCGTCGGTTGTTCCACTGAGACTACGTCTGGCTCCACTAGACCTCCGGTTATAGAGACAGAACGATCGCCTATGCCAGCCTATGTTGAAGATATCACGGCTAGATTTTAGCCGTTAGGCCCCTCCCACAAACATGAACAAACTTGCCACGGCCGTATTGTTATGCCCCCAAAATCCCCCAAAATGTCATTTTACCTCGTGCATATCCAATTTTACATTAGGCCTAGGCTATAATACATCGGTTCCACTAACTAACTTGATTGAAATAATCCGTTTAATGGTCCCTTTTAAGGAAATTATGGGTCAAAATCGACATCCATGTTGAAAATCTTGCAAGCCGTGTTAAACTCTCGCTGCCGTCAATCTCATCCCTTCTAGTCTACGCCGAAGGCAAAATGATTATGAAGGAAAAACTGTGCGCCATCTGTAAGGTAATAAATCAGTTCCACTTACCAACTTGACTGAAATAATCAGTTTAATAGACTAGTCTAGTCCCTTTTTAGGAAATTATGGGTCAAAATCGGAATCCATGTTGAAAAAGATTTTCAAAATGGATTTCGATTTTGACCCATAATTTCCTAAAAAGGGACTATTAAACTGATTATTTCAGTCAAGTTGGTAAGTGGAACTGATTTATTATAGCCTAGGCCTAATTTACAATATAACATGCTCGAGGTAAAATGACATTTTGGGGGATTTTGGGGGCAAAACGCTACGACCAGGACTGGCCGTGGCGTTAGCAAGGACATGTGTATAAACGGCTTCCGTCTCTAAAGAGAGAGCCGACCCTACCCCAATAAGAGGCTAACGAACGAAAGAGACGGAAAATTCGGTCTAGCCTAGACCTAGACTAGATTTATATTCGAATTACACTAGACTAACCTGGCTTGGTCCTTGTTTCACTTCAGCTGTTCAGTCTGATTAGGGTCTAGTCTATGTTTACAAAGGTAGCATTTCGTCGACAGAATTAAATCTAAATCAGCATAATAAAACTGAAAAAAGATCTTAAAATATAGTAAGTTCAATCACTCACTGAATCGAACTCGGAAGCGAGGTGGCGTGGCAGTACGGTACAGTACGCGTGCACAATTCTGGCAGAAAATGGCGACTGCACAGTTCGGTGGGTCGCGGCCGGAACAAGAAACAGAGCGCGCAAATAAAATAAAAGGGGAATCCCCGGCTGCGCGTTTTAGCCTATAGTCTTTTACCAAGCTAGATATCTTCTTCGCTTGCGCGGGTTACACACCCGGCCCGGGGGGGGGGGGGGGGGGGGGGGGGGGGGGGGGGGGGGGGGGGGGGGGGGGGATACTCAGATTTTATTTGGACGGGGTTGTGCCGCTCGAGCCTCAAAACCCATACCCAATACCAGGGGTCATTTAAGGGCATTTTCCTCGAAAAAAAGACAAATTTTCCACAATTTTCTGGTGTTTTTTTGCACACAAAATTTCGCAAATTTTGAAACCATTTTTAATGGTGTTCTTGTGACAAAAGTGACCCATTAGAGCGGTACATCCCCGTATTTCTATTATGTGAGTACCCCCCCCCCCCCCAGGGGGTACAGAGTGTAGACAATCTTCATAATATCTCTACGTGTGGTGTAGAATAATGACAATGTACATCACAATTAACATAATATTATATTCATTATTGTTGTTCTTGTATGCTATGCATACGTCTATGACTATGTGAAGACCTATTAAAAGTCTCTTATTAGTCTTTCATCAGAGCACTTCATCTGCACTTCTTAATCTCATAGGCTATAGCTTTCCATTTTTTAATTTTTTTTTTACACAATTAGCTATAGATTGAAATCGGTCATTTAAAGAAAGTTTTCATTGTCTCCAATAATAATTGTGGTTATGTCAGTGGCGGGAAGAGGGGGCGATTCGGCCATGCACTCCTTTTCGGTGGCCTGAAAAGGGGAAAGAGAGCGACGGGAAGAAAGGGGGTAGTGAGCACAATTTTTTTTTTGGTCCTCGAAAATTTTAAAATTTGCACCCCCCCCCCTTGAGCGCCAGGGGGGGGGGGGGCCCAACCCCCAAAAAAGGTAAAAATCGCGTGATTTTGCATGATTTTTTTTCTCAAGGGGGGGGGGGGGGGCCGGCCCCCCCCCCCCCGCCCCGCCCCCCTGGATCCGCCACTGCCCCCCCCCCCCTAAGTTATTTTTCTAGCGGCAAGAGGCCTCATCTGTCCCTAGTGAAAATGTGGCCATATACACCCATAGTTGAGGCGCTCTTCTTCTTCCAATTGTTTTGTCAATCTTCAACGGGCTATGCAGCCTATCTCAAAGATTTGTAGGAAGGCTACCAGTTAGTGACATTTTCTATGAATAAAATCCATTACAAACAATGGGTTTTTGAGAGTTAATAATGGAAGAAGAAATATAATGTTAATTTACAATGCAACTGACTGCTTCTCTGTCTTGTTTTAATGTTTTCTCTCTCCCACTATCTTCCTTTCTCTTTCACTATATTTAAATCTAACCCCTCCCCCTCTCTTTCTCGGTCTCTAATCATTTTTTTTCACCCCCCCCCCCACCCCTCTCCCTCTCATTCCTCCCCTATTTTGTTTATTTCTGTCCCGGTATAGTGTCTCCCTCATTTCTGCCCCCCCCCCCCACCCGATCCCTCCCTTTCTCTATCTATCTCTCTCTATTTCTCTTTCTTCTTAGTCTCTCAGCATGCACCCTAGTATAAATAAGTATTTATCTATATTAATTGTATTATTATCCCTTCCTTCTTTTATCCATTTCTTTTTGTATCCGTCATCTCTCTCTCTCTCTCTCTCTCTCTCTCTCTCTATTCCCCTTTCATTTCCCCTGGTATCTTTCACTATTTTGTTCCCTCTCTCCTTCTCTCAATCTTCCATTCTCTCTTCATCCCCATTACTGTCCTCTCTCTCTCTCTCTCTCTCTCTCTCTAGCTCATGTTTCATTCCTCCATATTTCTACTCCCTTTCCTCTCAGTCTTATTACAATAATTGATGTTTCTTACCTCTTTGTATTACCGTTTCTCCTGCTCGTCTCCCCCCCCCCCCACATCATCCATCCATCCTATCACTCATTGCTACATGCAGGTATCTCTCTCTAACTGTCCCCATACACTCTTCCTTCATCACCCTGCATGCTCCATCTCCTTTGTGCTCCCCCACTCTCTTCTTCTCTCTCTCTATGTCTCCTTTTCTCTCCCTATTTCTCTATTTTCTCATTAATATAATAATAATAATATATATCTTAATAATATATGATATATTATTATTATTATTATATTATTTCCCCTTTTCTCTCCCTCTCACTATTTCTCTATCTTCTCATTCAGTCTCCCTCCAAAGTCATCTAGCTATCAACGTTTCCCATGCTCTGTCCCTGGCCGTTTTCTTTTTATTCACTCCTTTAAACAAATCTCTCTCCCTCATGTTTTTACATTTTTTAGCATCTCGCTTTTCTGCTCCTCCTTTTTTCTCTCTTTTACTTACTATAAAATAGTGTATCTGTTTCTCTCATCTTCCTCCTCTCTAGCCCCCCTTCTCTCTCTCTCTCTCTCTCTCTCTCTCGTCGTCTTTCCATGTCTCTCCTCAGGCGTGTACGCAGGGGGGGGGGGGGTAAACCCCTTGAGATTTGTGTATGTGTATGTTTTTCGGGAACCCCCCCCCCCCCCATTTTGAGTATTGATTTTTTTTGTTTTTTTTTGTTGTAATTATTATTATTTTTTAAAATCCTAATGGATGACCTAAAAAATATGACCTTACCCCCCCCCCCCCAACGGAACGGAATGTCGATGAGTCAAAATTTCAAATTTAGGGGGGGGGGGGGGGGGGAGGAGTAGGAATTTTAGCAAAAGTACACGGGGGAGAGAAGAGAAAGAGGACCGCCATTCATAATTTGAGAAAAGGGTCATTATTCATAAGGACCGCTATTCATAATTGAATAAAAGGATCATTATTCATAAGGACTGTTATTCATAATCGAAGAAGAGGGTCGCTATTCATAATTCAAGAAGAGGGTCGCTATTTACCCTCTTCCCTATAGCGACCCTAGCTCATTAATTTGGCTCAATTTGAATATGTTCAAATTTGGTTCTATATTATTAAATATGCTAAAGTTAAAGCAAAGATTAATTCCAATACTACTAATAAAAGAGGAATGCAAATTAAGTCTTCTCTCATTGGGAACATTTTAATCATTATTCCTTGGCCGGAGAAAAAGGGGAAAATGGTGTTTGCTTCGGGGGGGGGGGGGGGGGGGCAGGGGGGGGAGGGGCTATATGCAGGTATAAGTGAAAAGCTGCATTTCATAGCAAAATTTGTCGAAGATCCATTCGAGATGGGGCTACCAGGGGAGAGCAAAAAAGCTGGGTCGGTTGCGGGGCGCCTGGTTTTGTGGTGTGGCAAAAAAAAAAAAAAAAAAAAAAAAAAAAAAAAAAATCAATTTTTTAAAATCACGGTCAACTCTGAACACTTCCTCCCACCCCCCCCCCTCCCCCCCCCCAAAAAAAAAAAATTAAAAAAAAAAAAAAAAATCATCCATTCATTGGTTCGTATTCTGCAAGCATCAAAGTTTGCGAATCAAACAATTTTTAAATATTTCTCATGGTCTATATTTTGTACATTATCAGCGGAGAATGGCCCCGTATGTACGGTAGATGGCGGCAGACTTTGTTATTGTCGGCAAGAATTTATATTCGTCATTTCCAGCTGACCGATCGAACGAATTGCTGATAACAAGATTTGTAAAATATCACCTTTTTCTTTGGTAAGCGAGTTATTTTAGCCGTCATCGCACCTAACTTTATATTATTATGATACATATTTCATTCAATTGTGACCTTAGAATTTGAGAAAATGGCAGTGACACAGTGTTTTGAATGAGGCATGTGTGTGATACCATGGACGGGTGAGCTGAAAGAGAAAGGGACATCATCATTCGTACTCGGACCTAAGTTGATCTGCGGCAACGCTGCCGGGCGACTTCCTTACCACCTCTCGAGCTCCGCTGAGCTGAGGGGAGTGGGGTGGACTCGACCGAGATCGAGGAAAGCCACCGCATTGGCATTGCCATCGCACCAGTTAAAACTAGACTAGATCTAGTAGGTCTAGTAGTAGTTATTTGAAAGGCTGATGTGCACTTTACGATGAAAGCAATTAGTGTAAAGAGGTTTGCTCGCAGAGAGTTTGCTAAATTTAGCAAACACAGTGCTTGGCTGGCCCTGGACGATTTTTCAATCTTCAATTTGGAATCGTTTTTCACCATTTTTTTTTTGGAAAAAAGTGTGTGATATTCAAACCTCGTGATCCTGAAGGTGAAACTCAATAAATGAGGTGTCATATGAAAGGACGCCTCCTTAATTAGCTGATCCAACAAATAGGGGGAAGGCTATTTTTAAACTGTTTTAAACTTGTTTAAACTCTCTATGCTTTGCTGGAGTGGTTAGGCCTACTTTACCAAGACTGGGCCAAATTTATTATGATTTTGATGACTCCAGAACTTTGCAGTACACACCAATACTTCCATGCTACATGATCAACTTGTTCTGATCTATTCCACACCTTTTCTTTCACAATTCAATCAGATGACTAGAACTCACCTTTATCTTTAATGTGATCCATAGATTCCATAGGAGTCGGGCTAACCCGGCCCAGGTACAAAAACAGTCATTTTTTGTCATTTTAGGGTTAGGTTTAGGGTTAGGGTTAGAGTTAGGGTAAAATGACAAAAACTGACAGTTTTTGCAGCTGGGCCGAGTTGTCCCCTGGTCCGAGTTGGCCCGGATCCATTCCATACAATACACACAAATGGGCTTCTGACCTCATGCAGACTCAGAGTGGCATTTAGCTTATTGTACATGAACATGTACATGTAGGTTTGTTACTTTTATCATTTTGTAAACAATATCTCGGAGGAGATGCGCCTCTAACCAATGACTGAAATGAACTTCTCTAGGTCTGTATCATTTTTTTCTTCATTTCAGATAGATCATCGTTGTGATAATGAAGGCTGACCAAGCATGACTGATATATTACGTGTGACTCTTCTGGATGTATGCCATGGCATGCGGGATGCTGTGCTTGGTTCTCTCTTCGTCTTTCGGGTCGATGCCGAGATGGAGAAGATTCAAGAGGAGATGAGGAAGAAAAGGGAGGAGAAGATGATGGAAGCTAGACGAAGACCACTTCCTCAGAGGGAAAAGAAACAAGAGTAAGGTCTATTCCATCCCATCGATAAAAACTAAAATATGTAAAATTGCAACTTCAAATAGTATGAACTAATGCGTGAGAAGTTAAAGTCCCTTACGGCCAGGTTTCATGGCCCTTATTGTCGCCCAAGGAAGCCATGGGAGTCTTAGATGATCTCTAATGCAATCTGAGCCATATGTTATGTCCAACATTTCATAAATTCCTTTTTCTAATCATGAATTTAACCCGTTTCTCATATTTACATGTAGGTAGCTTACTGAAATTTAGTGGCACGAAAAGACCCGTCCGGAAAATAATAATAATATTATACTGAAAAGCGGTGCTTATAAAGGGCTTTCCACCGAAGTCTCCAAGTGCTATACAAACAAAATACAATGACAAACAATTATATATTAAACAACAAATTACAAATAAATCTACAAATTTCAATACATATGAAATATACATCAATGTGATCAGAGTAGGTTAATCATCAAAAGCAATTTTGATTAAATGTGTATTAAGACAAGTTTTGAATTGGTTGACAGTCTGACAGTTTTAGACATTCAATGGTAGTTACATTCAATGGTAGTTTGTTCCAAAGTTCAGCAGAAGCTTTGAAAAATGAGCGATGACCATGATAAAGAGGGTTTGTATTCCTAGATTAGTTGAATACATAATAATACATAAAAGTCAGTGATATTTGTTCATTAAAACTTCTTTTTTAACATACGGTACCTGAATTTTTTGGGGGTAACATTGAGCCTGATTGAGATAGTACAGTCAAACCTGCTTTAGTGACCACCTGTCTACAAAGACCACCTGTCTACAAAGGCCACATTTGTTGTTTCCCTTGAAAATGGTTTCCCATTGAAACATGTACTAAAGGAACCTGTCTATAAAGACCACCTGTCTACAAAGGCCACTTTTTGTGTTTCCCTTGGGTGGTTGCTATAGACAGGATTGACTGTACATGTAATTACCAGTTCCACATCTTAACGTTGTGGGTATACATGTACCTCTGTGTGATAAAATTACGATTTTCAACAATTATGTACACGTATTTGCAATCCGGACGCGTCTTTTCGTGCCTCAACATATTTCTTAACTACCTCTAAACCTGTTGGTGTTAGGTGTTAAAACCTCTTCAGGACTACCCTGGTTCAATCAATGTTCCAAGTTTAGTTCCTACCCACTGCCCAATCTATTTGTTGAGAGAAAGAACAATTACAGAGTTTATTCATGTTATCAAATTAATACCCTTACAGCTCTTGGCAAGTTGGCAGATGATTTACAAATGTACTCTCATACTTTGTACAATTAGTTTCAGAGACTTTACAGTTTACACTCTATTAGTAATTAAAAAAATGATTGTTACCAATTTAGAGAAAGACATGTGACTTCAGGACAATAGATGGACAAATCGTTTAACAGAGTGGCAACCAAGGATGGGAAAGAGAAGAAGAGGAAGGCAGAAGAGAAGATGGAGAGATGACCTAATATCATACATGGGAACAGCCGCTTGGACTAGGATAGCTAGAGACAGAAAAGAATGGAAATGTTATGAGGAGGGCTTTGTCCAACGTCTTGATGAACTATAGCTTGATAGATAGATAGATGTGATCAATTTAGCCCCAAAAGAAGAATCCCTGTTGTGAATTAGATTCCATTCTCATACAGCATCTCTTCCAGTGAAATAGCCCCCGAAATGCCCAAAAGAGCCTCCGAAAATCAGAAAAGAGCCCCCATAAATTTACATTGAGTTCAATGCAAAACAAAGTTTAGAATGTTATTTTCAGACAGGCAAGGTTGAAAAGTAGCCCCCGAAAAATAAATATTAATTTTTTCCCTGATCTCTTCATTCTACCCCCCCCCCCCCCCAGGGAGCCTAAGGTCATGCATCGGATCCTGCAGTGCTGTGCTCTGAATGTAGGGGTCTTCTGGCTTAGCTTGATAGTCTTCAACAATGTGCTGCTGCCCCTGCTTCAGTGGGTGACTACTTTCATTGCAGGTGAGAACCTAGTCAAGATTTTGTCCGTTTTTATATTCTTCAGTCACACGCATCCCACACACAGCGCGGTGTCTCCATGCCCCGCCCCCCCCCCCCACTCATTGTTATTTAGGGTACGCATATGCATGTTCCCTCCCTTTTCAGCAACCCCCCCCCCCCCCCATAAGTCTGGTGTGTAAAGTCAATACGAGCAGATCTTTTTGTTTGTTACGAGCCTTTTCAGCACCCCCCATAAGTCGGAGAATTTGGGAACATGAATGCGGTCCCTCCGTTCCCGGAGTGGGAGGAGGGGGGGGGGGGGGCGGGCTCCATGCACTCATTGCCCGATCCCCCACAACAACTGTTGAAATGAGAGGCAAGAACTACTGTCACTGGTTGAGCGTTGAGAGTGTATTATTTTCTCAGCTGATTAGGCGCGCGACACAGAGACAGTCCCGTTTCACAAAGCCTTTTTTCAATGACAAACATCAGTGACAAATCTGTTGATAACCAATCAGAAACAAGGATTTCAGTAGCTTATAACATCAACTGTCACTTGTCACTGATGACAAGTTTTGTGAAACACCCCCAGACTGTGGACTAGTAAGAACCTAATATGACCAGGCACCACAAAACCTTTGTAAAACCTTACCCCACCACTCAAACAAGACAAGCTACCAAATCAATATGTACGGGGCCTTTTGTATAATTAGTGTCACATGATGGTTGTCATGCAATCTTGCTCTATGAGCAATAGCATGATTTTATCTGAGGAATAAAGAAAAAAAAATCACTGAGAGCCTAACACTACTTGATCGTATGAATTTTCATGGCTATATAACCTACATGTAAGTGCCTTTTGATCGTAACCTTTGATGACCTTTGACCTTTAACAGGTGCGGCCGGGTCCGAGAACCTTGTTTGGTCATGGATGAAACCTATGCTGTCATATACGTTCAGTGCATTCTGGGTACTTCCCCTGTTTCTACTCAGCAAGGCGGTCAGTGCACTGTGGTTTCAAGTAAGCAGCTATTTCATTCCACATACCGTATTGCAAGTTTCAATCCGTTTCATTTATTTAAAGACAAACTTGAGTTCTGGGCCCCGTCTTACAAAGAGTTGATATCAATTGCAAATTATTTGAAAGAGATATCATTTGTAACTATGTACAGGTACATAAGAGATAGGAGACTGCAAACTTGCGATTGATTGGAGAACTTGCGATTGATCTCGATCAATCATAAGTCTTTGTAAGACAGGGCTCTGGTAAATATAGAAATTAAATTCTCACAGAATCCAACGAAACTTACACTGAATGTTCAAGATTACAAATGAGTGACATGTGCCAAAAAATTTTGGTAGAAAATGTATAGTGGCTGAGTTATTAGCATAGAAAGATCAGGAAATCCAGGTAAGTAGGCCCGACACCATGTAATACAGTTCACTATTTGCAAATGGGAGTTGTGGCTTTTATCGAGGATGATGACCTGTATTTAAGGTTTTTGTGCGTTTGTTTTTATTTCACTGTTTCAAACAACCAATCTAACTCCAGGAATAAATCAGCAATTTTCTCTCAAAATAGATTCCCATACCAGAGCTCAAGATTAGCTTTAATTTTTCTTACCAAAATGCAATCACTTTTATTTTTTTTTTATAGCTAATATTATTATTACTTGTGCGCCAGGTGCATTCAATTGTCAAGCCTTATTTGCTTTTACGGATGCCCCATTTTCTTTTTGTGCAATGGTTTATACTTTCATATTTTCTTTATATTTTGAATGTTTTATGTCAATTTATATAGGGGGTGGTAGTTTTCTGGCTTACTTGGAATCATCGGGTCATCACGTCCGGTCGGTAGGTCACGTTACACAGACTTTTGTGAAACTAAAGCTGAAGATCATGCGAAGATGCATGTTAAGGATGTGACCTTTCGTAGATGAACAGGGTTTATGTCACAAACATTACCCCCGACACTACGTGAATAAAGGGCTCATTTTCACAAAAGTTTGGGTAATGCAACCAACCGACCCAAATAGATGACCCAATGATTCAAAGTAAGCTTAATTTCCTGAGGTTCTGTGAACTGAATAGAAATAGACAAATTGTAATACAAAAAAAACATGAAGAAAAATGCAGAGGTTTTTTTATGGGGGGGGGGGGGGGTCATTTTCTGAGGTTTACACAATGATTTTTTTTTAAAGTTGATTTTGTACACCTTCATTCAACTGAAATTCATTTTGCTGTTGCTTGTTCGTGTTTCACTGTATATGAAAAAGCGGATCTTGCCTATAGAGTCCGTGAACTGAATAGAAATGGACAAATTGTAATACCAAAAAAAGCCAGTAACAAAAAAAACATGAAGAAAAAAAAAATCAAGTCAGAATGTTATTACATGTGCAGAGATTTTTTTAAAGGGGGGGGGGGGGGGGTCATTTTCTGAGGTTTTTTAAAGTTAATTTTGTATGCCTTTATTTCATCGATGTTCATTTTGCTGTTGCTTGTTCTTGTTTCACTGTACAGGACATAGCAGATCTTGCTTATAGAAAGTCAAGAGGCAGACCACAGCTACCAAGCTTGAGCAGGCTCATAGCTGATCTTCTATTCAGTGTTCTTATACAGATATTATTTTTACTACAGGTGAGTGGTCTTTTTGCCAGGAGTAACGTTTTTTAAAGAGAAGGTTGAGTTCTGGGAAGAGGTGAAAAATAATTTGTGAGCGTTATCATTGTATTATGCATGTGTTGAAGAACATCAGAGAAAAAATGTTTCCTGAAAAACATGGCTCTTCAAATATCTTAATATTCTAAATATGGCATGTAACATCATAAAAATCAGGACAGATTTTTACACCACATGTTAGTGTAGTCCCATATACATCTTTCTGTGTACAGGGCTTGTAACTTTACCAAGAATTGGGCAAATTTCTTATCATTTTGATGGTTCCAGAACCTTGCAATACTTATATGCTAGATGATCAACTTTTTCTGATCGTTTCTTTCACAATGCAATCCCATGAACAGAACTCAACTTTATCTTTAAAGGTATTCCTATGTACTGAAAAGCTGTAGAACAAATAGATGCATTGGGACAGAAAAGTATATTTCATGAAATGATACAATAAAAGTTTGAATTAATTTATACATACATATATCATTAGCTTGAGCATCTGTCTCTATACAGTGAAACCTGCGTATAAAGAACGCTTGAGGAAGACAATAATAATGGTCTTTATAGGCAGGTGGCCTTTATGTACAGGTTCATTAGTACAGGTTTCAATAAGAAAACACATTCAAGGGAAACAGAAAATGTGGTCTTTATAAACAGGTGGTCTTATATGAATGGTCGCTAAAGCAGGTTTCACTGTAGTATAATGAAGAAGTCAACAAGTACGATGCATAGTAAACTGATCAAAAAGTGGTAGTAAACAATCTCATCAGTTAACTTTTGTTTTTAAGTGGCCCAAACATTGTGGAGCGTGTGTGCAGCGCTTTGTAACTGCAAGGAAAAGGCGCTATATCAAATATCTTTTGGATTGGATTATCTTGGAAAGAGACTTGACCGTTTCTATCAATAATGGTACTGGATTTGTGTGAAATAGATCATGGTGTCTATCTTCATTAAGATATACATGTATCTAAGGTAATTGATAAGAGCAAAAATAATTTCTTTCTGTACAGAGCATCATTATTTCTTGTATTTTTGTGTATGTTCTCAAACTCCGAGCAGAAATATAGATTTTCTTGTAAGTTTCTTGATGTTGTGTTTCTCTTAGAGCATGGTGGTTAGCTTAGTACCAATTAAAGGAGTGAGTCAGTTCCTGAGCATGTTTCATCTTTCGCTTCTCAACGCTCTCTATGCATTCGAATACAAGTGGTTTAATATGGGTAAGTTCAATTCACATTTTCAGATTCCATCGTTTGTATAAATACATTTGTAAATGCATTAGTTAAAATACATGCGATTCCACACTAAAATACATTTGAATGACAGAAACATAATATACATGTACATAAATGACGACTGAACTAAACAGCTGTAAAAAAATAAAAAGAAAAAAGAAATCAACAAGGTTTTGTCAAGATAGCTTCCCTGATCAAATAGGATTCGATAATCATAGCTGGCTGGGAATCAAATGTCAAGTAAAGAATATTAATCAGAATTATTGAAGAAATTGCATTTCTATCACAGAAACCCAGAATACAATGTGATAGGACAGGAAAGTGGAAGGTTAGGAAAGAAGAAAATAGAAGAAAAGAGAAAGGGAACCTGATACATACATTCAGTGTGAGTCACGTATAAAAAAATGAAATAAATAACTGTGAGGTTTGTAGTTAAAACTTAGTCAAACTGAGTACTAATTATCAACCTCTCTTCCCTCTAACATCCTAGTAGGCCAGGGCTTCCAATTTTCCTACCCTTTCTGCCTATCTTGTAATCAACAGTGAATTTGATACCAATTTCCAAGATTTGTCCCGTTTTGATATTAACCTTAACGTGATACAGGCGTTATGAGTCTGGTGATGAAAAGCATTTGTACGCGTTTTTATGTACGCAATTGATGTACAGGCTTTAATGAGACACACCTACCCCTCTCCCCATGTGTGGCAGCTATGCTGAACGACAGACACGTTACCTCAGTCTGTTTCCTCTCTCTCTCTCAGGATGGGAAGTGCACACAAGGATAGCTTACATCGAGACCAATTGGCCGTACTTCTTAGGGTTTGGTCTACCTCTAGCCCTCATCACATCGCTGCCCAAGTCCTACTTTGTGAGTGGTTGCGTATTCTCCACAGTCTTCCCTCTCTTCATCATCAGTGGCAATGAAGCCCAGCCTCCACCCAAGGCATGGTTAGTAAAGGCTTCCTAAAGGGACTTGGTGACATTGTTCAGATGAGATAAATGGTGCTAAGGTAGTGACGTCAATGCTAGATGTACAATTAAAGATAATCTGAAAGTTTGAGTGAAAACAGACCATTATCAATGATAATAATTGGGAAAAAACTTATCTGATCGATTCCTTAATTCCCTAAACTATATTATTACAATTTAATTACATCCAAGGCATGGTAAGTAAAGGCTTCTTAAGATGTGTCGCTGTAAATAAAAGGCAAGTGGGAGCAAAAGTACTTAAACTACTACTACTTCTACAGTGAAACCTGTCCATAAAGACCACCCAAGGGAGACAAGAAAAATGGTCTTTATAGGCAGGTGGTCTTTATGTACAGGTTCCTTTAGTACATGTTTCAATGAGAAATCATTATCAAGGGAAACAAAAGATATGGCCTATGTAGATAGGTGGTCGTTCTATACAGGTGGTCGCTAAAGCAGGTTTGACTGTACTACTACTACTACTACTACTGCTACTACTACTACTACTACTACTACTACTACTACTACTGCTACTACTACTACTACTACTACTACTACTGCTACTACTACTACTACTACTACTACTGCTACTACTACTACTGCTACTACTACTACTGCTACTACTACTACTACTACTACTACTACTGCTACTACTACTACTACTACTACTACTACTGCTACTACTACTACTACTACTACTACTACTACTGCTACTACTACTACATACTACTACTACTACTACTACTACTACTACTACTACTACTACTACTACTGCTACTACTACTACTACTACTACTACTAGTACTACTACTACTACAACTACTGCTACTACTACTACTACTATTACTAGTACTACTAGTACTACTACTACTACTACTGCTACTACTACTACTACTACTACTACTGCTACTACTACTATTACTACTACTACTGCTACTACTACTACTACTGCTACTACTACTACTACAACTACTACTGCTACTACTACTGCTACTTATTCTACTTTTACTACGACTACTACTACTACTACCAAACTTCTACTACTATACTTTTACTACTACTGCTACTTATTCTACTTTAACTACGACTACTACTACTACTACCAAACTTCTACTACTATACTTTTACTACTACTACTACCAATATTAATAATAATAGGCATTTTTATAGCGCCATCTATCTAGAAATTCCATTCCGAGGCGCATTAATTATTACCCTGGCTTTAGCCTAGCTGCCATTACAGCGCTCCAGCATTTCAATTTCTGGGTCGAGTGTGGCAAATGAAGATTAATGCTTTGCCAAAGGACATTAGTGCCGTATTGGGGATCGAACAAAGAATTTTGAATTTCAAGTCAAGTACTTAAACCACTCAACTACGACACTTCTACTACTACTACTACTGCTACTACTACCACCACCACTCCCACTACAACTACCACTCCTACTGCTCCTTCTACTACTACTACTACTACTACTACTACTACTACTACTACTGTTGCCACTACCTCTTGTATTATTTCTACTACTTATTCATGCTTTACTTCTTACCAGATGTATTGTTTGGATTGGGAGTTAGGCCAGGTTGGGGGAAAGGGTTAAGATTAGGCATTAGGGTTTGTTTACTGTAAACCTGTTTCATCATCTCTTTTATTTATTCTGCTCTTTCGCAAATCAGATACACCAGCTTGAAAAAAGGTAACGAGCTATGAAAAGAATCAATTGCTTGTTTCTTAATTGCAGTGTTCTAAGGGCAGCAGTCAGCTGCCAGGCAAGGAGGAAGCATTTCAATTTGATTTAACTCATATTCATTTTCTGATTGTGTTTTTCCATAGTGACTTCCAAGTTCGTATATTCTCATTCGTTGTGGGCGTGGCCAACAAACTATTCTACCGGACTGTGAAAGGACCAATCAAATCGTCTCGGAGTCGATGAAAACAATTGCTGTGATTGGGACATTATCTCTGTAATCCAAGTTTTCTACGGATACAGCAATTTTTTGTTTGTGACGTATAGCAAGTACTGAAAAGAATGCCATGTCGTTGACACTAACAGCGATAATGCTGCAATTATCATATTCTACCCGGGAGCATTTTTAAAGGTAGAGCAAGAGAAAGGGGACATGTTAGACAGCCTCAGAGATTATGGGACTATTGATCTTTCTAACTGCATGCACCAGGGGGGCGTTTCACAAAACTTGTCATCAGTGAAAAATGACAGTTTTGGTTATATGCTACTGAAATCCTTGCTTCTGATTGGTTATCAGCAGATTTGTCACTGATTTTTGTCATTTGTCATTGAGAGAAGGCTTTGTGAAATGGGTCCCTGGTGATGAAATATGCCTGTAATTACTTGCCGATACTTTTGCTGTGGTATACTGTAGGACATACACTATGGCTTGTCCTACCTAACTCGTAATATATGCAGTTTGCATTCTGACTATTGAAATATGATAATTGTAACTGGTGAATTGAGTAATGTGTAACTAGGCACTTAAAGGTAATACAAAGTTTTGGTATGTTGTCATGAATTTGGTTCAAATGAACATATTGGAAGCATATGCATCCTACAATATTCAGTGATCGATGTTGCGGTTGAAATCGAGTCTAAAGTTATGAAATTGTATAGCTCCCTCTCAAGGTCAAGATATTAATCAAGCTAAAAAACAATGTTTTTTTACTAAAATCGACCGATTGGCTATTTCCGTTTGGAAATTATATATCACAACTATATATTCAGAGATTTTCATGATCGCAGATACCATTGTATGGCCGTAGCCGGTATTTGAAATTTATCAAAATTTACTGGGATTACCGGTAAATTTCGATATTCCATTTTTCTCAAAAGCAGAAGTGTTATAGGGGTTACATTTTCTAGTGCTAATAATATATCCACAGGGCATCCAAGTATATCGAAATTGTAAAGAATCACTATCCAGCCAATATTCAAAATTTCCCAAAACTTTGTATTACCTTTAACAAAGATTCATGCATTGAATTTGGTTTCATTAAGAAAGTTTCCTATTGCTAGCAAGTAAACTGCAACTTTGGAGAGAACGTTTTCCTTGCCAAGCCAACAAATGGGAGTCATTTATATATAACAGGTTTGGAAAATCTTGCACTTATTGGAAGAATCGAGGGGAGGAGGAGTAGGGGTAGAAGGAGGGTTCTGTGGATGAGCAGCCTAAGCAGTGGGATTTCTGAATGTGGATTTGATCTCGGGAGAAATCAATTACTTATAGAATATGGGACAGAGAGTTGTGACACTCCATAGTCGCCAACGTCTCAGGACATGGCACGTAGAGAGTGAGAGAAATTTAACAGGCTGACAGTTTGTATGAAGGCTGTCTGTTTAAGGTAGCTGGGTTCATTTTCATTTATCTTCTTTCAGTGTGTAAGGGAGATCCAAGTCTGATGAGTTGTATACCATTTTGAAGCATTTAGAAACAGACCTGAAATTTAAAAAAAAAGAATATATGTGTATATATATATATATATATTTTTTTTTTCTTTGTTGAGCTATTTTGCAATTAAAGTATGTGATTTTTGTTGTAATAATATTTATTTTGATATCCCAAGTAACAGATAATTTCTTCAAGATGTACAACCAAAAGGAGTTTTTAGTATTGACATATGTAATAGGGTATTACAAAAATCAAAGTTATTCATGGGACTATAATAATTACTAGAAGATAATGAAATATTTATATGACAATCATAAATATATGATTTAATTAAAATGGAATCTTTGGCTATCTAAATCTTAAAAATGCCAGGATATAATGGGTCGATAGCCTATATTTATATAAAAAACCAACAATGGAGAATTTTGGTGTTTAAAAAGAAACTGCATGTAATATTATTAAAGCCATTCATTCTGTAGAAATCAATGTTAATCTCTATTGAAATAAGTAAACAATACATTTAAAGCCATGAAATAAAGCTGATATAATTATTGAACAAAATATATGAAACTGTGAATTAAGCTGAAATAATTTGCATTGTGACAATATTGATTTCATTAGTATGATAATGTATATTACAGGACGAAAATCGATGAAACAGTTATCAAAGCTTTTTAAAATCAAACTCATGCCACTTATGGAGGAATTTTTAATTCAGCCCACCTTCAGAAAATGCTGTCGTTTTGTGTACATTGTTTCACTAGCTCATTCCCAGCATTTGTTTATCCTGGCTTCAGAATTTGTTCCTGTTTATATATAGTTAGAGATGTTTACATTTGCATTTAAATCGAGAACATGCTTTCATCAACACATTTATTAAAGTCAACATTTTCCGTCTTACGAGGGGTTAGTCAGAGCTGCCAACCATTCCGTTTTTGCCGGAATTACTCCTTTTTTTCTTCATAAAATACTTTTTTTTTTTTTAAATAATTTTTTTATAAACATTCCGCTCGTCAAGCAACTGCCCGAAAATGGTGATTTGATCACAAATTCAATAGAAAAATATTCTCTTAAAGAATGAAAAGCCGACAATACCAAAATAACCAAACAAAAAATACCTGCTTGTATGGAAAAAACAGCATGAGGAATGGACATTTCTGCATTGGAAGTGTCTCGCGCGTGGTTGTAATTTTTTGTTTATGAATTCCTTTTTTTTTTGCTTGAATTTCCTTTTTTTTGGTTGCACAAGGTTGGCAGCTCTGGTTACTGCCTTTTGCTCCATGACAACTCTCCCTCCCTCGACCTCTTCTTGTTCTGAGCATCCTCCTCATTTAGACCAACCTTACCGCTTTCTTGCCTCACCATTATGTTTCCATGAAATATGCCATCCACTTCCAGATCCCATGCTCTTTTCACAGGTTCATCATCTTCCCTTCTCAACACATGACCCACCCATCTCAATCCACTTCTCTTTACCACTTCCGCCAGTTTCTCCCAGACCAACCTATCCATGAGCTCACTTGAGTTGTTTCTATCGGACAATGTCACACCACATCATGGCTCTTGCTCTCCTCAAGATACTTCTATTGTTTTTACATTCCCAGTTTCCATCACTGTTCTAACACAAGCCTTATAGATCTTGCACCATCATAAACCTTCTCCGAGCTAGAATCAAGGCCAGCTCATTAAACTGCATCCTCCCCAATCGGCCTCTTCTCACCACTGCAATCACATCCACCATCACTGTTGATTTAAGGGGGGGGGGCATTTCACAAAACCTTTTTTCCATGACAAATGACAAAATTCTGTGACAAATCTGCTGATAAGCAAGGATTTCAGTAGCTTATAAGAAAAACTGTCATTTGACACCGATGACAAATTTGTGAAACCCCCCCCCCCCCCCCCCCCCCCCCCCCCCCCCCTGGTCATGTGATTGCATTGTGAAGGAAACGGTGTGGAATCCATCAGAAAAGGTTGACCAGCTAGCCTCTAAGTATTTGTGTGTACTGCAAGGTTCTGGAATCATCAAATTTGGCCCAGTCTTGGTAAAGTTACAAGCACTGTACACAGAGCATGTATATGGGGCTACACAAAAATGTGGCATAAAAATCTGTCCGGATTTTTTATATTTTTTGTTTAGAATATGAAAGCAATTGAAGAGCCGTACTTTTCAGGGAACATCAGATGTCCTTCCACACTTGCATAATAACAATGATAACGCTTACAAATTAATTTTCACCTCTTCCCAGAACTCCACCTTCTCGACGTCTCCCATCTACATCCCTACTTGCTCCTTCACCACTTCATTACTAATCTCTCTCTCTCTTAATTTCTTGCACTCAAAACTCTCAGCCATTCTCTTGGTGTGATACGTACTTTCATTAGTTTTAACCAGGCTCATGAAACTGGAATATTGTGTGGGTCTACATGAAAAAAAACTGAACCATTACAAATATTTCATTTGACAGAATATACTTTACACCTGTATTACAATTCAAGTAGTATATACCTCACATATAAACGGCTTTAAAAAATAAGGAACAGAAAAAGAAAACAAAATGTGTCTATACTCGTGAAGCTTACAAGGAAGGAGATCAATTTATATATGGAAACAAATGATTTCATTTTGATTTAACTTTATTTCTGCATTTTTCCAAATACAATAACTGAATAACATGTAAATGTAAGGTATAATAAACAAACAATAATAACTTCTTCAAAATGTACATATATACATATAATAATAAACTTAATATTTCTATAATATAGTATGAATTTAAAGTAGTATCCTAGCTATTTGTGAAAAATTTCAGGAGACGCTTGACTAAGAGAAAAAGGTTAAATTTTAATGAAAATGTGTTCTCTGATCTTTGAGTTTATGAGTGTATTGTGTGTGTGTGGCGAATAGTGGATGTGTACGTAGCTCTGTGTTGCATGGTGGGGTAGAAACAAATGTGGCCTTTTCAATAAAGGAACAAAATATACAAAAATAAATAAAATACATCGATCACTTCTCATCTAATCAAGATCTTTAAGGTCATGGACAATTTGGTTGCACCTTTGCCACACATGCTGAGTCCAATATACAGGGGAAGCTAACCGGATAATGTAAGTAAAAACTCGTGCCATTCCGATGGAGTGTACATAACGGAGAGAAACTGGATTTTGGAGTGATCACCTGATCAGAATATTTGACCACGACACCTAAATCCCAGGTTGACCCGGAGACGCCATGTGTTTTGTTGACAGCCACTTAGCCAGGTAGAAGAAATTAAAAGCAATTAAAAAAATTCAACCACAAATAAAATGGCAGAAAACGTAGCTTTCATTTGGACCAACGAATACAGTAAGGCACTCAGATCACTGTGTGGGGAGAAGCAGAGATAAAGAGAATTCTGGAAGGGAAAACGAAGAGGAATTAAGTTGCCTACCAAAAAATAACTGGATATTGCATCCTGTGCAACAAGACGCAGGTAATCAGCAAGATAAAGTACCTGAAGACTCAGTTCACGAACGGGAAGAAGGCCAACAGAAACGGCGCAGGAAAGGATGACATCCTTATAGTGTGTCAATGGAAGGACAAACTCATACCAATACTCGATTCAGATAAGCTTAAACTTAAGCTGAAAGATATATTCATGTATAATTATTAGCATGCATTTCGATTGAAGTGTAAAACTTTTTCCAACAAGCGTGATGCCGTCTGATGAATAGTGCATGATTTCAACATAAATGGCTTTGGCCTTTACTGGTATGTACTTTTCTGTGCGCATGTATAACATCTCTATACGGGTCATTTCACGTTAAGTGTACACTTTTTGAAAAATGGGGTTTTCCCCATTTTGGCATCTTTTAAACAATTATTATTTTATGTTGGCCATTTTATTTGATGGACCTTATCAACAGCAACCTACAGTTCAATTTTCATAACACTGCAAACATTATTTCTGTTAATTTCAGCATTTTTAGTGCATTTTTAACGGAAAAGGGATTCTCATTTCATAATTTTGATAATGTTCATTGATATCTTACATGAATCTATTGAGAGTTGTGTAAAATTTTAATGTTTTAGTGTCAGCACAGCAACTATGTAACATCATAAAACTTATTTGACCAAATTTGACCAATAAATGTGAAAATGATGAATATTTTTGTAAAAGGCATCTTTTCCGTTAAAA